GGTGTTCTTGGTGGCTGCTGGGCATTGCTAAGCTGTTCTGAGTGTTTTAGCATGCGGATGCTAGAGGGTTATGGGAAGTTCCAGGGCATTGCTAAGGGGTTATGATGAGTTTTAATGCATTGCTATGTACTTTCTAGGGTGTTCTGTGTAGTTGCCATGGCATTGCTAAGGTGTTTTGAGTCGCTATGTTGTTGCTAAGGTTTGTTAATTGTTTTCAGGTCATCTCTATGGTGTTCTGAGTTTTAGTGCATTGCTATGTAGTTACCAGACTATTGTTAAGGTGTTCTGAATGTCTTAGCAGGTTGCTATGTGGTTGACAGGGTGTTGCTACGGTATTCTAAGGGTTTTTAGTACATTGTTTTTGCCAGGGTTTTGTTGATTGTTTCCAGGGCATCTCTATGGTGTTCTGAGTTTTAGTCCATTGCTATGTGGTTTAAAGGGCATTGTTAAATGTGGTCTGAATGTTTAACAGGTTGCTATATGGTTGCCAGGGTGTTGCTAATGTGTTCTTAGTGTTTTTCAGACATTGCTATGCAGTTGTTATGGTTTTGACAGTTGTCAAGGCATTACTACAGTGTTCTGAGTTTTAGGGTATTGCTATACAGTCATTATGGTGTTATGTGTGGTTGCCACGGTGTTGCTAAGGGGTTTTGAGAATATATATGCAGGTGCATTTATATGTAAGTTGCATTTATGGCTGCTGGGCATTGCTCAGGTGTTCTGAGTGTTTTAGCATGTTGTTAAACACTTGCTACAATGTTACTATTGGTCGATAAGTAGTTGCTTACCAGCTCCAAAACACTGAGCCACAGCGGTCAAGTGGCTGCCAAGCATTTGAACTTAGCTACTTAGCCTGATTTTGTTCCCACATGTTCTTCAAACCATTTCCTGCCATCTCTCTACTGTACCTATAAATAAAAAGAGAATTTTCAAATAAGCAAATGTTTATAATTGTTGTAAATGATTTACCATGTGTTCACATCATATCATCTATGATTTATTGGTAAAGTTCCCTAATCTGTAGATTAACACACACACACACACACACACACACACACACACGTCTGGTTTGCTATCCTTGTGGGGACTCTCCATAAGCGTAATGGTTTTTCTACTGTACAGACCATATATTCTATTGCCCTACACCAACCCTACACCTAAACCTACCCCTTACAGGAAACTTTCTGCATTTTTAAATTTTCAAAAAAATTCATTCTGTGTGATTTATTAGCTTGTTTACCTGTGGGGACCTCAATTTAGGTCCCCACTGTGACACGAGTCCCCATGAGTCTCTGTGTATTCAGGTTTAAGTCCCCACTAGAATAGAAAAACAGGTACACACACACACACACATACACACACGAACGCTCCATCTCCATGCAGGCTTACAGAACAGCAAAAGGACCCTCCGTTGTTGCATCTGTAGTGAAGTGGCCAATTATGCTTCAAAGTAAAACCAGAGATTTCTTTTTTTTAAACACACCCCATAAGGCACCCCCCTGGCTCTTTTCCCTCTGCTCCATGTTTTATCACATTCCCACTCTTTCATTCTCCTACTCAGGTACATGGAATGTAGAAACACACCTGCTCAGCACGTTGCGCGGTCTTTTAATACCATCAAACATTAACAAGAAAGCTTGACAGCCCAGGTGTTTGAGTATTCTAGGCAAGCCCAGTGAAGCCTCTTTCCTACTTCCTTTCAGGTTAACATTTCCTGGGAAGCTCAGTAGTGTTAACCAATCCAGCTCAGATACTCTGTGGCCAAGTTATGTCAATATGCGAGCCAGGAAGCATCCAAATGGAGATGATACTCCAGAGGCCAAACCATATTTATCAGTTCATCAGAGGAGACAAATGAAAAAAGACAAGCTTTATTTTGCTCCCATTATTTGATACTTGCAAATGGAGCGCTTCCCTCCCATTCTGTGCCTGTCACAGCGAAACAAAAAAGCTTTTTAGTTGGGGGGAATTATTTGAGATAATGTGTGTTCTCCCAGTGAGACTCACAACTGATTTAACCTGGCTGCGAGTTGCTGTGGAGATGCGCGATGAGGACGTGCGCGAGCGTGCGGTGTCACTCTTGGTTGCTGATGGGAATAAACTGGAGAAATAAAGAATATTGAGTTTCTAATGAATCTCTGCTGCACCTCCTCACAGCGTGTGCAAATGGAAATAATGTCTCCCAAACAGCCAAGGTGAAATTCACCCTTGTTTGACATTGTTGCAATCATATAACATTACTTCAAAATTGGGTGTAAGTTTGTGTGGATGTGTAGGTTTAAACAAACCAAACTCAGACAGCTTAAATGGGAAAAAGTATCCAGTTAACTCTGCATTCACACTGGTCTCAAAAGTGGATTCTATTTTAGTATTGTGGTCTATTTTAGTTGTGAAGGCCTCATTTTGGTTTGTTTAAAGAGCTTTTTGAAGCCTACAGTATTCCAAAATCAAAAAAGTGTGAGCCAGATGTGAAAGCAATTAAGGAATCACTTTCATTTTAACATTTTTAGTTACCAGAAAGACAGAACCTCCACAGATTCCCATGGAATTCATAATTTGTTTCTAACCAAAGGTCCAAGATTATTTCAACCCTGATTCTTAAACAAACCAAACTTAGACTGCTTAAACAGAAAAAAGTATCAAGGTAACTTTGCATTCACACGGTCTCTGGTCTCAAAAGTGGATTCTAATTTAGTATTTTGGTATATTTTAGTTGTGAAGGCCTCATTTTGGTTTGCATTTTGGTCCTCATTCCTAGATTATTTCAACCCTGTCACAATACATTTGGAATTCATATACTTTTCAAGACTATTTGAATATATAGGTATATACATTTTTATGAATGTATGAATAATATATATATATACAGTATATATAAACAAAAAACGTAGCAGATCTGTTCCACCAAGACCAAACACTTTTTTTTTGTCAATAAAACCTATTAAAATGTATTGGTGATGAATGAGGACATGCAAATTGGCAGATATTTCAAATACATTCAAATATGTTGTATTTTAAAGTTTCTTTTGCATTACACACTAAAAGACAAAGTTCTTCCTGTTAATTGCTGTATATCAGCAGTACGTCATGAAGACACACACTGCAGAAAAATGCCACTGTATGAGAGTGACCCTATACTGTTCTCGACTCCACTAATAAGAAAAAAAGTCTATTATTAGCCTACAATATGAAGATATGGATTTTCTTTCTTTCTTTTCCCCTCATTTATCCATCCCTCCACCCATTCATTCAGACGCTGAAATACCCCAGGCTATTTTCCGCTGCATTGTTGCAGGTGTTCTATCTTTTGGCATCTGTAGTTGTAATGAGACTGGATCTGATTTGTTTCTCTAAGCAACAGTGTATCCACCTGTCATCCATAACCTATTATTCCCTTCTGCATTCTCATGTCCCACTTTTTCTTTTCTTCCCCACAAACAGACCCACCCATACACACATTTAAGGGCCCTTTCATATCCGTCTGTGGACTCCACCCATGTTTTGTTACATTTGGCACTCTCTGGTTTCTTTTTAACTTCTCTGCATCTCTATATTTCATCATCCTTACACCTTACTGCCTCCCTCCCTCGCCCTCAATTCTCTTGTCCCTTTCCTTGTCCTTCACTTTATCTTCTCTTTTCTTTCATCCCTGCTCTCTGTTTCTCTCACTCTCGTCACACATTAATCCCTCTTCACTAATCACCGTTGATGTGGAGTTAAATGTGGAAATGAGGTACATGCAACAGGAGAGGAAACTTACTCCATTTAAAGCTTGCCCAGCCGTCTCATCCATCACTCTCTCCGGCACGGCCTCTCATCTCTGCCCCGTCTGATTAATCATCACGGTCACATTACAGAGGCAGCGTTATGTGAAATGGGCCTGAGGAATTTTTAAAAGATTCAATTTAGAGTATCACTCCTCATCTGTTCCCAATAAATGCCAACGTGAGCATCATTATGGTGGCCTTGTTAATCAAGATATACAGAGACGAAGGATGAATCAGAGAGGAGCTGCCAATTTAATACTGAAGAGAATTTACGTCCAATCCACCTGATAGGCTACCTGTGCCCTGAAGGAGTGTTAGATTTTGGGTAGAATGCACTTTTTTTTTTTAAAAAGCCACTGGGTCAAATTACTTTTTTAGTTGAAAATTTACATAATCAATTGATAAAGATGGTTGTTCAGAAGCTCTTTAGTTCACAGGATGCACAACGGTTACTCTATGTGCTGTAATGGAGGGATGTTTAAATATATAGACATTAATAATTTCAATTATGCTGGATAAACTTGGGTGTTTTTATAGTTGTATTTAGCATAAACTAGCTCTGATTTGATGCTCTTACTCTATCAATCCTGCCTGTAGTAGTGCCATTTTAATTTCACTTTTTTGAAATAATATATGTATTTTTTATATAAATAAAAAAAAAGTTGAAATTTTATTATGGTTCCAACATATTAGCCAAACATATTCCCAGACACTTCAACCTTACAACTGGACCAACCTTATTAACTCATCGGAATGATACAAAACTTTTGCAGCATTCGATATATGAACACATATCACATATACATACATACATATATATATATATATATATATATATATATTTACATTTAGTCATTACATATAGAGAGTCATGGCCAGAATTATTGACACCTTTGGTATATATAAACACAAATCACAAAAATCTAACCTTTCAACAAATAAAACAAATGAAAGTGTGTGGGGGAGAAGCCATGGCTTCCTGTTTCACATATAAATATGAGGTAACCCAGAGGCCAAATTCCCTTAATCATCTTTCACAATAGGAAAAAAACTAAGAATATAGTTTGGATGTGAAAATTCCTATTTCCACCATCAGCGTAATAATAAATATGTTCCAATCAAGAGGAAATGTTACAAATCTGCCTGAAGAGGATGTGTGTCTATATTGTTTTAATGCAAGTTGAGGATAGATACATACATTAAATATGCAAATGTTCTATATGCTTTGAATACCCAGGTGACTTAGTCAAAAGGTACAGTATAAAACAGTACACATTGCATTAAATACGGTCCTCCATAAAGCAGTTCACTTAATCTCACTCAAATGTCCATTTCCAGTATGACGAAGGAACCCTAAGCAATGCCAGTCTTGATTTATAATATCTCCTTCTTGACTCATGTATTTCATTAGACATATAATTCAAAACTGGATTAAAATGCATCAAAACCATATTTATTACATGGCTTGCTGGAATACTTCTGCTTCATGTCTGGGTCCTGAATACCCTGTCTGGATTTAGTTCAAAAGTCAATAAACCTGATAATAATTTTTGTAATTTTCATTTGTAACTTTTCTGGTCAATGTGCTTCTTATTCTTTTCTATTAAAACTGAAAATAAAAATTTAATTGCAATTACACACTGTATAGACGACAATAATAAAATGCTTTTTTTATATTAAAAAACACAATGTTTCTGTTTTTAGCACATAAGGTATTATTTAAACTGGCAAGATGCTGTGAAAGCACACTACAAAATTAGGACAGGCCACCAAAAACGGGACGTCTGGCGACACTAGTATTCCAATTGGAGATTGAGCTGGCTGAAACACTCCGTCTGTGCATGTGTTTGTGTGTGGTGTAATGGTAACAGAGGGAGAAAAACAGCTTCATCATCTCCTCACAGTGTCTCTCTGTCCATATGTTCAGCAGCACTACCTCAGTTCACTACATCGGGAATGAGACGCTTGGAACAGCTGCTGAAATTGAGTGTGTGTGTGTGTGTGTGTGTGTCCTCATACATATGTCAACTCAGAGGAATTATTCATCAAAGTGAGAGCTCCTGCATGCTGAGTGTCAGCATTGGTTTGGTGACTGGATTCTGTCTCAACTTGGCAAAGAAGTTCCCCCCACGGAGGCGAGAGACACTTTGTTTGTCCTTTCTCTCTGTCGGTTGGGAATGTGATGGATCGTGGTGTTTGTGTCAGCTGAGTAAACAAGTCCATTTAAGCTGCTTCATCAACACTGGACAAACCACATCCAGCCCAGGCAACAACACAAACCACAAAGACAAAGAGATACTATAACAACGCATTTTAAAAATAATAAGCAAATGGTCATTTAGTAGATAGGTCAATGAATGACACATTTTTTTTTTTTGCCAATATTTTTAAAAATACATTAAAAATGCAATTGTTATGTAGAAAACACCTCTTCTAGGATGAACATGTTATTAATTTGTGAATTGAATTGACATGTTACTAATTTGTGAACCAGCATTCAAAAAATAAATAAATAAATAAAACAGGAAATTATGTCATAGAGATGACCCCTGAACGATATTAAATATCAGATAATTTCTCCTTTTTTGACAAGGCAAGTTTAGTTCATGAGTTCATGTTGTGAAATGTCATGTAGTGTGAAAAAAAAGTATTACTTTGCAAATAATGATGTGTACACTCACATTAATCCAAGGTGTAAGGAACATACTTTTTTATTAATAATCACTCAACATGATATCATTAAATTTAACTTTTTCTAAAAAAATAGTCGATTTTTCATTTTCTTTATCACTGACTATTTTTTTTATCTAAAGCGAAAAGCCAGTTGGATCAATCTGGAGTTGAAGTGCCTTGCTCATGGACACAGCTCATATCTTGCTCTTTACAAATCTTGAACCAGCGACCTTCTGATTACTAGCTTTAAGCTGTAGCCACTGCACCACATCACTGAAATAATAAATCATCTTAAGCAGAATATTCACTATCAGTCTGTCAACCTTAGGCCTGCAAACGATCATTCCAAACTGAACACTGAAACAGGCAAAGTTCCGCACTGCACATTATCTGAAGAACATTTCACAAAGACATGTAGAAAGAGTCCTACAGAACTATCTGTGTATAAAAACGGGTCATCTGTGACCCTATTTATGTTCTGTTGGAGCGGATGTACTCAACTAAATCCATTCTAATCAAATGAAATTCTGTAATCTGGAAAAGGAGTGTATAGCTCTGTTAATTAGAGTTATAACCCTATTTTCTCTGTCCGTTTGCCCCAGCAGAAATGAACGGGCTCAAATCGAATGATTTTATCATGCGAAATTAAGCTTTTGTGCTTGTTGAACATCTTTGTCTAACATCACAGTTTAACTGGAAGGCACCGCGGCACATTACACAGCATACAGTCTGCCACTGTGTACTGAGACTAGTTTAGAGTAGTTTAAAAGGGTCAAATTAGTTTTGACCCCCCCCATGATATTCTAATGTTAGCCAAGGTTATCTGTACAATAAAATTGTAATTCAGTTTTGACATGACCATTTTTTACCCTCTCTCCAAGCCTTCACTCATCTGGCTGCTTTTGCCGTTTTGCATAAACACAGTTTTTACATGTGCTTTGCATCATATGCCATTGCTTCCCAGCAAAAGTGTGTTTAAGATTGATGAGTCACATTATAGCTGTATCATTTCCAAATGTTCTTTTGTAAATACAACAACAACAATAATAATAGCGAAAAAAAAAGGTAACACTCTACAATAAGATCCTATGAGTTAATGTTAGTTAATGCATTTATTAGCATTAACTAACAATACAATAAGAGATACATTTATGACACTATTTATTCAACTTTGTTAGCATTAGTTAATAAAAATACAACTGTTAATTATGAAAAATAAAGTTTATGTTATCTCAGCTCCATTAAATAATATGAACAGACAGACATATAATCTTGTATAAATCTTCCCATGGATCTTATAAGATTTATAAATCAATTTATATGACTTTTTAAGGTTGAGAAAACTCAGAATCCCTCATATATTAGGACTTTCAAGAAAAGTGAATTAAAATAAGAAATTTCCTCATTAGTTCATTTTAATTCCCTTTTTTTTAAAACCATTTTAGGTTATCTTGAGGCCCCCTATGAGTCCCGTCCCCCTGGTTAAGAACCACTGCTACATAGCATATCTCAAATTCTTGAGTATCATCACAAAATGTAAACTATATTATTATAAGGCATGACGATATTATGATATTATAAACTTTAACATTGTGATTTGCTGTGAAGCTGCTGAAACAATGTGTATCGCAAATTGGCAACACTTTACAAATAACACCTCATTTCTTAACATTAACTACATTAATGCGAAATAACAATGAATAATACTATTTTATAAGTATTAATGTTAATTTCAACATTTACAAATACATTATGAAAATCTAAAGTTGTATCAAAATTATTCAATGGAATATTAACGTTAAAGATTAATGAATACTATAACAAATATTTTGCTCAATGTTAGTGAATGTTAGTTAATGCATTGACTAACTAATGGGACCTTATTGTAAAGTCTTATGAAATTTGACTTGATTTAATAAATGCAGTGTTACAAATAAATTTGACTTGACTTAATAATAAATTAATTTAATAATAAATAAATTCAATTAATAAATGAAGTTTTTTCATTGCTAGTTCATGTAAACTAAAACTGCAGTTAACTAATACTAACAAAAGAAACCTTATTGTAAAGCCAAAAATTGTAAAGAAAATTGTAAAGCAAATATAAAAATGCTTTCTTTGTGGTGGGAATCATATCCTGTAAGTACAATGCTGTTTTTTAAATGGTCTTTTTGGACTGGAGAGTTCTGGAACGTACAGTATCTCTCCAAGTACAAACTATTCTGTTTTAAAAGATCAATAAAACACACAGAAACCACAGGAGGTCTGCGGAGTCTTCCCTCATGCTGTAAAAGGGTCCCCCGGTGGATCACGTGAGGTCTCTGCGCTGCAGAGTCAGCATCTCATCATAGCCTTCACCACAAGGGCAGATCACTGCTCCTTTGAAAGGATTGAATTCATTTCCTTATGAAATGAACTCTTCATGAAACCAATACTCAGGAACTCACACAAAACAGACTCCTGATAAATTCAGAAGCGCAAGTAAAAGACCGAATACGCATTAAACCTTCGACCAGGCCACTGGATTCCGCTTTTTGGGTTTGGCAGGTGGATCCTTACACCTTTATCACTATTTCAAAACCCCCGTTACACAGAACCACAGCCACTGACAGCTCTGCAACAGCAGCGCTCCATCCTGTCAGTCAGGAGCTATTACGACTCCATGTTTGGCCGGGAAGATCTCGGCACTGACCCAAAGAACATCTTTATGAGTTGAGCCCAAAGAGTGAGTTTCAGCGTCAGATTGTCAGAACACAAGTCTCATCAAATATTCATCAGAATGAAGCCCTCTCGTCTCTGATCAGCAGGAGAAGAAGGGAGAAGAACAAGAAGCCTGTCCTTCCACACATGATAGCAGAAATAAAACGTCATCTCAAGGTCTTCAAGGGCATCTCCCATCATAAAAACAGGCGAGTATGGCGTTGAACAATCTGCAAGGGAGGAATGTTTTGAACGTCTTCTATATATATATATATATAGGAAGAGCCGTAGTAAAGGTTTTTTAATGAAAATATTTCAGTTTGGGTGACAGCATCAAACTTGAACAGATACATTTAAACAAAATTATTTATTCATAATTAATATAGCTGTTATATATGCTGTTCAAAATTTTGGGGTCTGTAAGATGTGTATTCAGCAAATTAAACTGATCAAAACAGTAAAGATATTTACAGTAAATATATTTATAATGTTACAAAAGACTTCTATTTCAAATAAATACTGTTCTTTTGCACTTTCTATTCATCAAAGAATAATGAAAAATTACACTATTTTGCTTTTATGGTTGTTGAGCACTATTATGGTTCTTGAGCATCAAATCAGCATATTAGAATGATTTCTAAAGGATCTTGTGACATTGAAGACTGGAGTAATAGTTGGTTATTTTAAATTGTAATAATAATAATATTTCACAATATTACCATTTTAGTAGGACAATGGGTTGTATATAAATTGCATAGCACATATACTGTAAGACATATTGCTAGACATGCACACATCTAGTCAGCAACGGTCGCTATTGTTTCAGCTTTAATTAAAAATTAATGACTTCAGGGTGTTTTTGTCACTGAAAAAGCCACTTGTTAGTTGTTATTGTAAAAGCGACAGTATTTTGAGCTGAACTGCTGTCACACTATTGAGGTATGTAGTTATGTTATTAGTGTCTCTACTTTTAGTTAGTTAACCCTCAACACTGCTACACACACAGGAAGCTCGCACAAATCCACATACACAATGAGCACATCCTCAAAACTCGTGTCAGTCTTCAGAACCTTTCGGAGCGAACCTCTCTGTTCCTCTAAATTATTCAGACAGAAAGACTCCTTCAGCTTAGCTAAACTCTGGCCTTGTGCCAAAAGAGTCTCCACACACACACACACACACACACTGAACTTGTGCATGAGCTCACAAGCATCAACACACACACACACACACACACACACACACACACACACACACAGGTGTGAATGACTTCAGATGTGGCAGATAATTATTATACAAAATGAATATAACCTAGGGGAGAGGTAAAAAGAGAAAACAAACTGGACTAAAATTAGGCAAAGCAGACAATACAGAAAGTTTCTTGAGAGGAGACGGGAGAGGCGACAATATAGGGAAGAAGAAAAAGCAGTGTCATGGTGCAACATGCCAGATTTCAGCCACAAACCACAGTCTGTCCTCTGGTCATCTCGTGCATATTTCACAAAAGATTGGAAAACTTTTCCACAAACCACAAGCTCCTATCAGATTGAAAGACTCCAAGTCTCCAAGAGTCAGGGTGCAAATTTTTAATCAGTCCACCAGGAAACAAATCTCTGGAGAACCTGAACACTGCCGTGTTTGCACAATCAAATCTTTTAAAGAGTTTAAGGCAAAATCTTCTCAAGCAAAACTATATATTCCCCTTTGTTTTCTGTCATCATCAGTACTTATTAATGGACATACAGAAATTCTGATCATCATTAAAGTCCAAACACATTTAATTTCCCGCAAATTTTAGTACTTTCTGTACAACCTTTTGCCTGATGCTCCATTATAATGTGTTTTTATTTATAAAATTAGTATTTTCATATATTTTCATGTGTTTATATATTATTTTATGTTAGATGTGATGCTAGTTTATCTAATATATCTATTAGTTCTCATAAAAAATAAAAAAACATGGGTTTTTGTGCTTCAGAGGCTTTAAAAAGTAACAGGGACACAAACTAATAAGTGCCAAGTATTAATTTTGGTAACAGGAAAAAAAAACATACATATATAAATATAATATTGAAAATAAACAGATAAAGAAATGTATTTATTGCATATACACAGATATGTATGCAATAAAATATATACACACAAATAACTTTATATGAGGCTTGCTTTTTTTGCAACCCTGTTACCAAAAATGGGCCTAAATATATTTTAACCAATATCAATTTACTTCACATAAATTAAACAATTTTCTATCATTTCTGGATTTTTTTATTGAACTCTGATAACAGTCTGGTGAATGCAGGGCAAGACGGTGAAGACCTCAAAGTTGGGACAGGCCAAAAGAAAACAAACACCTTTTAATGTGTTTAAAAATACCTGTTTATTGTATTTATTTATTTTATTTTATGTTTTATTTGTTAGGGACAGATACAATAAACATAGATGAAAATGTAAAAAACAATCATCCCATGCATGTACCATAGTGCTTGTAGCCGAAGCTAATTTGCAACACTTGTCCCTAGGAGGGCTTTTATAAATTACAATTACAATAAACAAGTAATGCACAAATTTATAATATAAATACACTAAACATGACTACAGGTTTGTTGATGTATCAACCAAGATTTCGTGGCTTTCTTAAAATAATTATAATTTACAGTAGATTTTAAATAGTCAGGCAGTGAATTCCAAAATTTTACACCTTTCACTGAGAGAACAGTCTGAGCAAATGATGTTTTACAATGTATAACTTTTCCACTAGAAGTCGCTCTAGTGGATCTACTGCTTCCCTGCAATCTCTCGAAAAATGTACATAAGGGCATAGGAGCAAGACCATTTAAACACAAACTTTACATAATGAAAAAAGACAAAGTGAGCAAAGCTCAAAATCTTGTATTTGCTTAGGATCTGACAATGATGGTATCTTATTTGCTTTCTATCTAAAATTTTCAAAGATTGATTTGTCTGAGACCAAATAGCTAATCCATATGCCATGTGTGATAATATCATCGAATTTAAAAACAAAAAAGCATGATCATATGTTAAACAATTTCTTATTATTCTAAAGCTGGTAAGATTTGCTTTAATCGTTTTACGCAACTTTTTAACATGACTTTTAAAATTTAACTGAGAATCTAAAATCATACCAAGATATTTTTCTTCTGATACTTGTTCTATAATCTCATCTTTAATTCTAATGTTTAATCATTTATTTGCTTGCTTGATAATTATTTTTTAAATAACAGGGACAAAATATGAAAAGTATCGAATAATAATGTAGCAGACACTTTTGTCTAAAGCCACTAACAGTAGATATAGCCTATTAGTGGGTCAGGTCTACTGGTGTAACATGAGGTTAAGTACTTTGCTCAGGGGCACAAGGGTGAAACCTCAAGGATAAACCCTTGCATGGATTTAACTGACATCCTTTCAAAAACCAGCCTAGATCATTAACCACTACAACACACCACCAGTCAAATCAGCCATTGTTTTGTGCTAATTCACTTGTGTTTACTAATTCACTTGAACTAGTAAACACAGACCATTGCTGACAAAAAATAAGTCCTGAATGCCTGTTCCAGTAGCATTTATGTATTGAGGAGTGTGGAATAATCCCCTCAGTATCCAATAAAGAATGTCTCACATCTCCTCCAGAGGTCTTTTCTTTCACCCATCATCCTTTCCAGCTTTGTTTACCTCTTTATCCAACTCATTCTTTCTCCGCTGTCAAAAGCAGCACAGTTCCTCCATACACTGTTTCTTTCTCTGCTTTCAACACATATTTATTCAAGTGTCAGAGAGTGATACCTTAATTACAGCAGATGACCTGCAGTCCCAGAGAGAGTAGCAACTCTTTCACACTCTCCTCTTCTCTCAGTCACCGACTGCTGGACAAGGTCATGGCCAGTGCTCAGTCTTTTATATATATATTTTTTTAACTAGGGGAGAGCAGGGATAATAATACAATTCTCTGGTTTTCACTAAAAGCTGAAAATGTGCCTCAAATATATTTGACACATCATTTATTATTAAATCAAATTAAATTGCTTAATGTTAAAAAAAAAAAAAATTAAACAATCTAAAATAAAACAATTAATCAAATTGTAAACAATTAATTTTGAAGTAGTGAGTAAAGAGCCAACTGGCTTTCATATAGTCACTACACTAATTTTAAGAGAAATGATTCAAATATTATCAGAATTTTTTTTTTATAAAGCTGACATATTAAAGAAAGTTACTTAAAAAAATGGAGATAAATTTCAAATACAATTACATCTTACACACACACACACACACACACACACACACACACACACATATATATATATATA